CCGCCCCGCCAGAGGGCGCCCCGTGTACCGTAATGAGCGATGATGGGTTCGCAGTCATCAGCGCGACGTGTTGGGTTGGGGCAGCTCATGCTCGGGCGGGGCGGGTTGAGGCGGGGCCCCATTTGGGCGTAGGCCGCGGGGAAAGACCACGACTCGCGTCCCGCTGGCGACCGGCAGAGAACCTAGTCTAGTGCATCGGGCTTTCGCATCCTCACTAGTCGACATGGTGAAAATGTGACTTTCGTTCAATTCTACGTAGAAAATTTTGGGGAGAAAGAGGGATTCCGGGGTGAAAGGTTTCGTGCGTGCAGCCTGAGAGAAGCGAACTTTGTGTGTAAGAGAGAGAGAGAGGCAGGCGGCAACCAAGAGAGAGAGAGAGAGAGAGGGGGGGGGGCGAGGGCAACGGGGCCGCACGGGCGCGTTAAGCCCTTCGGGCGCAGACCCCTGCGTCGCGCTACGCCGGGGGTGAAGCCACACCATACAGATCGACAGGGACGGGGCGTGGCGGCCCCGCGGCGCGAGCGAGAACACTACCAAGAACAACGCCGCAGACGTACTCAACCGCAAAGCTACGAGGAAAAGTTCTTGTATGTTTTCCTGCAAACGTTTCGTTGCGGACAAATTTGTGCGCCAAACTCCTAACAAATTTATGCAAAAAATTGTTTCAATCAATGCAGAATGTGTGCAAAAAATTTGCAGCAAATTTTATCATGATCAAATTTGTATAAATAAAGGATACAAATCCAGTTAGTATATATAGAAGGAAAAGACGCATATTATCTCGTTTCCCACACAAAATAAACTAGATTTGTATCTTTTATTCGCACGGATTCCAGCAATCAAATTTTTTGCACATATTTCTTTTACAACGTTCATTCGAACTCTTTTTATCCATTTCTTTGTACGAAATTATATACATTTGGCGCACAAATTCGGAAAAAAATGAAACGTAGGTTTCGTTTAGGTCAGCGCAAAACATTTGCACAACAACATATACAAATGCAATTAGCTTGTGCGTCTTGAACGCGTAATTTCGATACTGGAACTAAATTATTCCATCGTCCAAACGCAGTAGGACAGACAGTATTTTCGTGAAATGATTAAATTCACTAACAGTGCTGCCATAGGTACTTATGCTAGCCGCGTTTAAAAACACGCCTAATCTGAGCGTTTTCATCTCTCGAGTGATGAACGGTTTAACTGCTGCAGCTGCTAGGTCCTTCCGAACATGGAGTAAACGCACACACGCAAACACACACACACACACACACACACACACACAGACGCAGAGGCACTATATACTCTCAGTTGCCCGTCCCGTAAGACTCCGGCCGTTTCACTAGCACACGGGAAATATCAGTAATATGATAATGATAATAATACCAGTAACACCGGCGCTCCAAATCCACCGCGGCCACATAGATCAACATAATTACACCACCGCTGTGATTGTGGTGCGCTGTCCCTCCTCTCCATACCTCCTCCTCCTGCTCCTGCTCCTCCTCCTGGGCCCAGGGCTTGGCCCCTGAACGCCAGGCCCCCACGCCGGCGCCACCACCGGCTCGATGCAGCGATAATAAAAATGGAGTTAATTAAAGGTCGGATACGAATGGCAACAACTAAACTGGCCGGCGGCCGCGCCCGCACGCGTCCGGGCTGCAGCCGATGCGGAGAGGAGGTGCAGCGCAGTGCACGCGACAGCACAGCAGGAAGACAGTCCAACTAATGTTCATCATCGATATCCACACACTAAAATCTTATGAACTTTTTTGTTCATAGTTACTGAGTTCTGTAAACATGCTCGGCTTACGCATTTTTTAATACTCCAGTATGCACAAATTTCTTCATACTGGCGCATTAAAAAATGCGTAAGCCGAGCATGTTGGCAGAACTCAG